ATTTCATTTGATTAATTATCTTTTCTTTGTCAATATTAATTTGCTGAGAGATACTTTGAATAATATTAGGTTGATTTTCTTTTCTTGCTTTTTCTAAAAGGTTATGCTCTTTATTTTTAACATGCCTATCGATTAAATCCTTCTTGTAAATATTACACCTTTTAGCAAATTGATTGCTATAACTCGCCTTCTCACACCAGATACAAAACATAAAAACTTTCTCATCAATATTACGATACTCTAACCAATCATGAATATTACGCTATGAATCTTTTGAAGAAGCAGCTGTTTTTGATTTTTTATTAACTTTAATCCCATCGGTTGCAGAATTCAGTTTTCTTTTAGGAGTTTCACTGCTTTGTCCAGAGTGGCCTAAAAACTTGTCCATGTTTTCATTAAAAAAAAAAGATAAAATTTTGATTACATTATAATGATAATGATAATTAAAATTCGTAAAAAAAAATCATAGTTGAATATCTCCAAAAATTACATTTAAACAAAGTCAATTAAAAATATTTTCGGAAAGACCGAATATATAGTGTATTATTTTTATTTTTATTTTTTATTATTTTTTTTTTATCGATCCAATAATCAATCAACAATCATCAACTGTGCGGAATTATGCAGACTGTATGTGGGTTATGCGACAATTTTTTCTAAAATTTTCTGTGCAGATTTGCGCACACTTTTACAAAATTTATGTGTAGAATTTTATTAGTCATGTGCAAGCACACGTGTCATACTATGAAAATCATACACTGACTTGCAGATGACTTTTATACTTTCTTGTATGCTTTCAAGATAAATCCAGTAATTTCGGATAACGATCAGTCATTACGTTTCTTAAAACTCGTGAATTATCATCAATCATTTCGCTCCTCAAATCTTGTGATTCAATTTTGGCAGGTGATCCAGTATCGAGTATCAATTCGTCAAAATTTGGATATAATTGTTCGATGGCAGAACCACCACAAATTGATGATGAGCTACTTGAACCACCATGAATCGTTGATGAACCATTTGCCGATTCATGAAAAAGTTTGGTCTGATTTAAAACTAATTTTCCATTACACTTATTACAATAACAAGGAACTTTGTTAAC